ACAGCAGCTTCGCATCGTTGTTTCTACACCGGTGTGCTAATCAGGAGTGTGTAACTTCAAGCGAGGAAGAAGTGGGGCGAGAGTGATTAATGAGGTCATGCGGCTTCTCGAGTGGATGAATGAAAAACGCCACCGGGAGAGGCCGTGTGATGCGACTCGACGGGGGCTCGGTTTGCTGCGGCGCGAGAGTAAAAAGCAAACCTGTCAGCGCGAGTCTTCGGATTGACTCCCTTAGAGCGCCAAGGACGGCGATTTCAAACCGAAAGGCAAAGGAGACATTTCTGCAGCACTCACTCCGCTGCGCCACAAAAACTGACAATATCTTTATAGCTGGGAGGAGGAGGAGGGGTGGAGGAGTGTAACCTGGGCTCGCGTCCCAGGAAAAGATGGATCACCATTCTTTGGCAAAGCAGCCGCTGTGCAACAAGCGTTCCGTGTGTGTGCTCTTTTTGTCTGTAATTGGTGAGTGAGAAATCCACTCCTATTCTTTAACCCACGATACCACTTGGTCAAACGACACATTCAGGCTTTACAATTAGTACACACGTCCATTTCAGACGCAATGTTTAATCCAACCGCGAGCTGCACCGTGCTCGGACAAATAAAAACAGCAACAAGCGGATTATTCATCCCGTGTGAAGAGGCGTCCAGGAGGAAATCCAGCTGTAGTTTCGCTGCCATTTCTTAAACATTTCTCGGGTGCCCGTTGAGCAGCGATGTTGGCCGCATGCTGCATCCGAACGTCAGCATTTTGTTCCTGCTGGCGAAGAAGAGATGATCCGGCACTTCTGAAACCCTCGTTTTACACGAAACGCTGTGGAGCACGATACAAAAAAAAAAACGACCTGAAAGCTTCAATGCGAGTCAGAAACTTGTGTCTACAGGCAAGACCACTCTGGTTCAGGGGGGTCACGATGCAAAAGACAGGACTTTTTAAATACTAAATCCTTTATTAATGGCTGCGGTCGTAAAAGTAAGAAGTTTTGCATTGGATCCTTTTACACAAAAAGGCATAGATTTTCAAAATAGCTGCTGATTGTAACCCGTGTGTGTTTAGACAAATGTCTAAGATTCATGCAGTATTTTCTCCTTTGAAAGTCCTTAAAAAAAACATAATTGCATTGAGAAGAAATGTACAATGACCCCCCCGGGGTCAGGTCAGTGTGATGATGTTCTTCTGCAGAGACTAAAGGGGGTTGGCCTTGAGAGCCTCCGGACGGCGCTTAAAACCGGCCCAGCCCCCCACCACATCTTCAAATAAATCTCAACCTTGGGGGAGACGCCGGATAATGATTTAACCTAGAAACGGTGCTACAGGGCCTAATGACACTCACCACATTAGGAGGCTTAATATGGACTCGCCGCTGCACTAAAGGGCATTAAGGGTATTCGCCCCCTCATTTAGCGTGCATACAGACCGAGGTTATGAGCGCATGTGGGGGTCTGCGGCCCCCCAAAGTGAATGGCTTCTCTCAGGTGCTTGTGAGGTAGCTGAAAGCTTTTAAAGTACCGGCTACCTTTAAGGATACGGGCTGAATCTTTTCTTACTTTGCCATCGGCTGGTGTGAGGCCCTGAGATGACGGGAGCCTGACACAGCCAACATAATCCCCTTGTCCAGGGCTAATCTGACGCCCTGGACCTCTAAAAAAAACACTTAAATTCTCTTCCTCCGTTTCTTTGATATTCACCATGACGTGGAATAGACTAAGCAAGGCTTAGTCAAAACCAACCCTGAACTTGCACTGTTTTTGGCAGATCCATGAGACTAAATGCTTCCTCAGTTATCAGAAAAATCAAAGTGGATGAATGAGGAAATAGTTGTTTCCTCAAGTGGCACCGCTCTCATGTACAAACCAGGCTCTAATCCAAGCGTTGGGCCAATTTACACATCTCCGACATCTATAAAATGTCATGTTATAGTGCGCCGCTTAAGAGTCTTAAATTTCCCTTCCACTTCACAACTGATGACTCAGATGTCACATTCCACAAAACACGTCTGGAGTGCAGCAACAAGGCTCTTAACACCCGTTGCATTGGTTAAAACGAATTACTGCTAAAAAGGGGGGGGGTTATCGAATGGAGAATAACCACTTTTGAAAAGGTAGTCAAATGGAAAGGGAACAAGTCCAAGCTGCTACTCAAGCTTCCACACAGGGAAATATAAACGTTTTCTCTGAAGAAGTGCCATGATTATGAACAGGATCAGTGAGCAAATTATTATTTTATCAGCTACACAATTTCAGTTGAAACAATACACAAATCCAATGGGAAAATGTCTTGCCATGGCAGTGTTTTATTACCATCGCTTATATTGATTTTCTTTGTAACGAGTACACAAGAAGGATAAGTAATTATAGGCCGCGCCGTGAAAGAAACGCCCTTAAAATGTGTAAAATCAATAGAAAAAGTCCGTAATGAATCAGTGCCGACCGAACACTCTCACGGGCCAAGTCATTTAAGCCCTGAATCATTTATAGGCCCGGCTGACATATTACAGGGGCTTCAGTAAAAGGTGCTCTTCCCTCGGCCCCCTGGAACAAGATCGCCTTCTGTGGCTGGTGCAGTAAAACGAAACACTATTACTGCGACCCACGCAATGCATTTGCGGTGCTATGCGTGTGTGGTCATTTTGTCTACTGCGTTGCCCGTACTTCCTGTATGACACATGAAATCATTAACAACCACCACGTCTGGAGACACCGGCTGCTACAGGCTCTGCAATAAAGCATTCAGGCCTGCGAGTCTGCTGCGAGCTAACAGGATGCTAAACTAAGAAATGCGCCGGGTTTATTGCATGACAAAAGGGGATTAGCGGTACAATGCTACGATTGTGTTGAGGAGGGTTACTATCTCCCACTAACAGTTTGTTAAGGCTTTCCTTTATCGGGGACTCCAGCCCAGAGACATCACCACACCCCGACAACTACGCGGCCAAACGGATGTTTAAAATGAACCGCAGCGTTGGACGAGAATGTTCAAGGTCCTTAATGAACAGGTTATGGGTTTCACTGCCGTATATTCAAAGTCGTGTCAACAAAAGGCATTGAAAGTAGGGGATTTGACACTTGGCAACCAGCTTATTGAACAAAGAAACCACCCATTACATTGAATACACATCTTATGGCCGCTCTCACCTACATCTGTGTACGGAATTAGCACATCTGTAGTTGGGTATCACACCCGACTAGTACCGGATCTTTGAGGCAACGGTACTTGCAGGTTTAAAAAAATATATATAAAAATGTTTTTTTTTTAAAGAGTACAGTTCTTTGTTAAACACACAACATTTGCAGATTTCTAAATAACGTTCAAGTTTAAATACAAAATGGTCAGAGCTTGGTGGTGAACCTCCAAATGAATGGAGGCGGTGTCGCTTGGTACTTCTCGGAACCCGATGAATCCCCACAAGCTATTGAGAGATGCGTTGCCATAGATTTGCCCAATGCTTTAAATTAACCAGAATTAAATGCCATTTTAAGACATTTTTGACCCTTTGTCAAATCTGTATTATAACAATACAATTCCAAGCACTGCCTTAGACTAGATGTCCATCCATGTAGCGATGCCAGGTTAAGGCCTTTAGTAATAAAAAAAGGTGGATACTCGCTTCAGCAATCCCAGAAGCGCATTAAGCCCGTCCCATCATTTCATTCGGCTCGATTCTTTCACAAGCTGCTAGCTCTCTGCGAGTACCATTAATGTCAGATTTGGGTTTTTACCATCATAAAGACTGTTTTGGGAGAGTGGTTTCACGGGGAGGCTTGAAAGAAGCCGCTGGTTTTCCAATTTGTCGTCTTTAGCTCGTTCTGCCGGCTACTTTCATTGGAGAAGAGTTAGCAAACACTGGGGCGGTTTATTAAGTTGTCACAACCAGATTTAGTTGCATTGTGAGCTCTACAAAGTTGCACTAGCAGAAACAAGTTTTTGAACAGCCATGTCCCATTTGATTAGCTTTTGGCACTTGCAGGTCGGGAACAATGGTGAATATAACCGAATATAACGCGTTCTGTGAACGCATGCTCTTCTTTTTGCATTTACGACTAAACTTACGACCCATTTTAGACAAATACTGCTTCGTTTAAAATGCAACTGATTGATGACAGGTCTCCTTTTTGCTTACTAGTTAAATCCATATAGAGTACTATGGTGAAATTATGCCAGTTGGAGCCATTTTATCAGAATATTAAAAATGTTTAAAAAATAATAATATTGCTTTAATTGAAGTAAGGTGGAGATGAAGGGCAGCAAATGTATTAAGAGCACAATCCACCATTTTAATGGCATCTTGTCCCCCTGTGTCATAAGTGAAAGGAGCGGGTTGTTACAGTGGAACCAGCAGCGGAAATGAAACGTGAGCAGCAAATAATCAGTTTCACACATATTCTCACATGCTGCTGAAACGGAGCGAACAGTTAAAGCAGAAATGAAAGGGTTCTCTCTCTTTATCTCGAGACCCCCCCCCCCCCAACGGATGCCCTGGGGTCCCCTGAGCCGCCCCCCCCCCCCCGGCGTGGAAACCACCGGGGACACGCAGCACGGGTGGAAATCCGCCGCTTTCGCTCGCGTTTTTCCTCCATTAACCCTTGAAACCCGGTTTAAACGCGGCGATCCCGCGGCCGTTACAACAACCCGACGCTGCCGCCCGTTGACGGCGAGTTAAACTGCGTCGAGCTGCCGCGGCGGCGGGGGCTGTGACGTCACTTAGCTAGCAGTTCCACACGCTCGTACGTTGGTTGAACTTCAACGCGCTAACGAGGCTAAGTTAGCTCGCGGGCGGGTGGGGGGCAACGAGCTAATCTGACGCTAGCTGGCAGAGTGAAACAATGAGCTCAGAGTGCAGTCGGGCTTCGGCTAGCTCTCCCGCTGCTGCCGCACGCCGTGTTGGAGCTAGCCAGCTCGCTTTGCACGCAAGGCTAACGTTAAATGGCTAACGACTCGTAGCACTATCAACAATGAGAGGAGGGGGGAGAGGAAGAAGAAAAGAAAGGTGGTAACTTACCGACTTAGCTAGCCACTCCTATTCCAAACCCTGGTCTGTCCATGGTGGCGTTCACTCCATTAAAAAAAAGGGACAAATCAAGAGTGTGAATTTGAATAAAACCTCAAAAGAAATGTGAAGCGGCAGAAACCAGTGGCAGCGCACTCCCCGAGACATCCAACACGAGCGAGGAAGGGAGGCCAGCGATTCACTGGACTTCTGCCATCACACTTGGAGATACCGTCCTCATCGAAAACAACCCGAGTCCGGAGGGCATTTTCCCCCCCCTTTTTTTTTTTTACCGGTCCCGTCTCAAGCCCGATACAAGTCCAGTCTCCCCTACGCGACCTTCTTTGTCGATTAATCCCACAGAGAACGGTTTACCATCCAGGTTAATTCCTCCGTATTCGCCGTTCGTGGATGAGTGCCGTGGTGGTTCTTCGTGTGGGAACTGATACAATGTAGCCAACCAGCGGCGGCGGGGGCGGGGGGTAAATCCAGGAGGAGGAGCTCCGGCTCGGATTGAACTGTCACCGCACTCCGCGGAGCGCCCGGGCTTAAAGACGTGGAACCGGATCGGCCCCTCGGAATGGATCGGGATTCGGCGTGTTTTGTTGTCAGAGAGGAGTACCCACCAGCTAGTTTGACTGCAGTGATGCAGGAAGTGCTACTGAGATCCGTTGTTGAATCAAAGGTACAAATGCCCTGGCTAAATATACTCTATTCCAAGTAAAACATGTATTCAAAATACCACGTAAGGAGGTATACTGTATACGGAATGGTGTTGCCAAATATCATCAAATCATGTCATTTATGAAAAAGGAACAATAAAATTGAAGTATTAGTTTAAAAAGAAAACCATTAACTAAAAGTAATTGAGTGAAAAGTATAAGCAGGAATGAGTAAAGGAATACTAAATAAGGAAAAGCAGGATAAAGATCTGCCAAAGGGATTTGTCAAAACCTGGTCAGACCCTAACGTTGTTTATACTAGTATCCATTCATGTAACTGAGAGAATAGAGGATTATCAAACACTTGTAAATAACAACTAATAAAAGGTGTTATTTAAGGCTTAGAAGATATAAATGGTTCGTTATTAGAAAGTGGTTTGATTGAGGCAGTCATTTATGAACCCCCTAATGAAAGATAATCTTTTACATGCTGTATTTTGTTTAGAGACTGAATTTAATCATGAACACACTGAAGGAAACATTCTTTAATGATACCATCTGTAAATAATTGCTGGTTTCCCTTGCTTCCAACCGCATCAAATTTGCATCTTGTTTAATGTCAACACACTTAAAACTACGATTCCACAAGAAGAAAAACAATGCTGAGGTTAAAAATTGATCCTCACACTTCAGGGCAAATTAAACATGTTGGGATCAGCTGTGTTCCAATTCCCCTGAACTGAGAATATCTCTGCATAACAGTGCGCCGGGCAAAATAAAATCAAAAAAATCCTCCAACAACGAGACCCGTTCATTTATGTTAGGATTCCGACTCAACGGATAACCTTTCATGTTTACCAGCTTCAAACACCGCCAAGGCTTTAAGTCGTTGTCTCTCACAGCGCTGGTTTCCCAGGCAACAAGAATATGATAATGTTGCCTTTGACATGACAGAAGGAATCATCTCGCTAGCAAACAGAGACAACAGGCACAGGGAGGGCTGGAGGGGGGAGGCAGAGGCGGCGGGGGAGGGGGGGATGAATTAATGGACTCGTTTTCACACAGAGGGGGAAAAGCAGCCGCAGCAGCAGCTACTCACCATCCTCCCATCCATCCTCCATCTTCCTCCACTACCTCCAATGCATTCCTGCTGGCAGGCACACTCGTGCCTTCCCCCAGGGAGCCGCCAGGCTCCATTGGAAAGCTAAATAACAGTCGGAGGCAAGTGGGTCCTGGAGGGGACAGATTTCTGACGACAACTGCCCTTCAATCCCGAGGCTCCAAAACCAAAGTGCTCTCGTTACCGAGCGTTGCACCAAATTGACAAAAAAAAAAAAACGGAAAATGAACAAGCTGTGCGGACGCCATGTGTTTTCCATTAGTGAAAAAAGGGGCTAATCAGCCAGCCATGTGGAATCACAGAGGGGCGGGCTTGATTCCTGTGATCATCTTTCCATTACTCTATAAAATAAGCTGTAAAGCCCTGAAAACCATTTTAAAGAGACGCTCGCACATGTCTGGATTCAAGATCTGCGTCGACTGAGAGCACTGCAGCACATTCCCCATCGGCAGTAACATATACTGTAAACGTGACACTATGTAAAATAAACTAAATCAAACACAAATCATACAACACAATGTATTATTGAAACAGCCTTCACATATATAGCACATTCTTTTCACCATGACTCAATTTATTTCCCTTCTCCAGACTGATATGCCGCAAAGCGTGAGATGTTCCTCCCGCTTACATCTGCTGGTGTTTTCGAGAGCCGGGTCTTTAGGGATCCATCAGTCAGTCCGTCGGTTCATTGGCCCGCCACTTTGGTCCGGACTGTGATGTCTCACTATTGTATTGGTTGCCATGACATTTTGTAAAGACGTGCATGGTCCCCAGAGGAGCATTCCTGATTCACTGACTCGCCCTTTGCTTTTTTCGTTTTCAGTGAAATATCTAAAAAAGTATCCAATTGTTCGCCATGACAGTTGGTGCAGCCATTCATTATCCCCCTGTGGATGTTCCTTAATTACTTAGGTGATCCCCCGACTTTTCCTCTGCACCGACATGTTGATTTTTTTGTGTGTGAAATGCATCAACTCTTTGATGGATGGCCAAGAAATTTGGTGCAAACATTCATGTCCCCAAACTTTAGTAGGTGTAGGTCTTATTGGTTCAAAAATACCTGCAAAATGACATTCCCATCGTCTTCCGTTGTTCTTTATGTCTGTTAATTAGCAAATGTTACAATGCTAAAGTGCTTACTTAAGATGGTGGGCATGGTAAACATGGTCCTTCATTGACAACAGGGGCCATCCAACACATTATCTGAGCATTACAAGAAAAAGTAATTCATGCCACACTATACAATGGCACTATTGAAGAACTATTGAGTGTCTATTATATTGGAAGAGAAAGAGTGAACGAGGGGGTGACAGCCACAGTCCCGATATTCAGATGGAGAGGAGTCGTACGTTGGTTTCTTCCCCCTCTGGGTTATTTTATTGAATGGTAATAGCAAACACCAGCAACGGTCTTCTACCATTAGTGCTTAATGGATGAGAGTCATGCAGACAACAACATGCATTAAGCCCAGCAGAAATAATTCTTAGCGAACATGAGATCGACCAAGGGCAGAGAATTAATCAGCAATGAACACTAATGTCAATAAAGTAATACTGGATACATTGAGGAGATTTTAAAAACTGAATTGTACAGTTCTGGTTTCTAGAGGACTTTTTGGATAAATATGTGGTTTAAACATCGCAGAAAAAATGGGGGCTATAAGCTGTAAAAAATACACAAATTAGTCTTTTAACTCGATCAGTTCCTTTTGGATCCAAGTATGAAAGTAATGCAATTTCTCCCTCTTATTTGGGACAAACTAAGAAATTTACCCAATAAGCTAAACAGAAATGGTTCTGCAGTCATGAAATATTGAAGCTGATATATATATATATATATATATATATATATATATATATATATATATATATATATATACACACACACATATATACATATATATATATATATATATATATATATATATATATATAGTATGGTGAGCATATGGTATTTGTTTTGTTGTCGCTCTACATTTTTGTTTTGTTAAATATACATATCAGTGGTATCATTATATTTGAACAGGCAGGAGAATAACAACGCGCTGTGTAAGCCCGCGGCAAACGCAGCTCTGTAGTTATTGTTGATCATATAGCAATATGCTAATAGTTAATCCAGAGTAATCATGTTATGTATCTGTTACAGTGCCTGCTCCTAAGAAAACAGAGCACTGGAAGGGACTATTTTACATATTCAAGAGACTAAAGCTTGACAAATCACTGTGTTCAGAGCTTTAGCCCTCGTGACAAGTGGATGCCTACAAGACAGACAATCATGTGTGTTCAAAAGCTTGGAGAAGCAATGGAGATGTCCCGGTGGGGGGGCTCTTCTGTGGCCACGCACTAATATCAACACACGGGAGTCTCTTTAGTTTGGGGTTTCAGTTATTTCACTGTGTGGTGCTCTCTGTGGGGAACAAATGGGGTCATAATTGTAAATGCACCCTGCTACATTTGTGTTGTTACAGCCACCGGCTCATTCAGCGAGGTCGAAAGGTCATGAATTAAATTGATCACTTATCGGTGGATCTTTACAAATGGCAGCAAGGGAAAGCCATTTGTGATGGCAAATCCATTTTTAATTGAATTTATGCATCTGCTCTCCCATTGAGGACTCACGATAATTTTCTGGTCGAGGCGACGGCCTTTTGCGAGGTCGCTCGGCTCTCGGTCGGTGAGCCGCTTACTGGCGCAACGAACATCTCCTTTTAGGTAAAGGTAATTCATCGAAGAGACATGAACATTCGCCGGGGCCCACACCTCAAGGGCAAACAGGTCATAGGAGACAGGAACACATGCAGACGTTCACGTCTTGGATCCCACTCTGCGTATCGCTCACTTGCCTTGAAGAGCTGAAGCTTTCAAACGTTCATGTGCCGCCCCCTCCTTAGATGGGGCCCACCTTGTGCGTCTGGACTAACCAAAGTCGACGAGCCATGACACTCTCGAGACGGCACAAAGGCCTTCTGCTCTATTTAGCTACTCTATGAAGACGAGCCGCTACATACAGGTCATTGACGACATGATTCGCTCCGGACGCTGGACGGGCTCTATGGTTCGACATTTCTTAAAATGCCAGCAGTCGGTTTCGCCGCTTTCCCGTTTCCTGTCCTTGTGCTAAGCTAAGCTATCCGGCGTGACGTCTTCTCGTCGAACTCGCTGCAGTGTTCCCCCCCCAAACTGTTCTTTGAACTGATCCACAGCTCCCCAAACAGCCGATATCACTTCCTGCCGGTGAAAACGCCAAGGCGGCGTACGTGAGTAACATGTTGACATGTTGTTGATCTGCTGAGGCGATGGGTAACCACGGCAATGATATCAATGCAGCAGATCCTGCTGTCAAATTATCTTTAATTAGCCACATATTGACGAGACCCCTTTGCTAAATATTTCCTTTGTACACCCACTCTGGCTCGACAGGCAGCGCTCTGTAACACATCCCTGAGATGGATGAGCCACAAGCTGTTCCCAGGTTGTATTGTTCCCCAGCCTGCCGCCACCTCTTCTAAAGTGCCTCGAAGCCTAATTCCTCCTCCGGGCCTGTGGGGATGGGGGGAGGGGACCCTGCGCCCTCAGTCCAATCAGTCTCTCAGCAAGCACACAAAGGTCCTGCTGCTTCTACAACAGGAAACTTGGCTGGATGGCGGGGAAGGCATACTGCTGGACTGGAGTCAATTGCACTTAATTTCAATCAGGAGATTCAGCTGGGCAACCGCTTCAGCCAAAATGATGAATAAATACATAACCATTTTATGTCTAATTTAATTTAAAATATTGGCTAGCCGGATGAAAGGCGGATTGATTTTAGATGGCGTTCTTATTGGTGCTCAAAATTAGATGCCGCGCTGAGTGTAACATTCCTTCGTCCACTGTGATTCGTCTCCCTCCCATCTCCACTAGCATCATTTACAGTAGGGTGGATGCTGTGTGATGTGGCAGAAGAGGCCTAAGGCCCAGTGATAGAACATAGAAGCACCACAGACAGCAAGTTGCTCCTATTTAAAGAAAAGCTTTGACATTTTGAGCTTATTAGCTTATTTGCTAATTGGCGATTTAGAGAAGATTGATACCACTCTACAGCCTGTTAGCTCAGCACAATGACTGGAACCAGGGCGAATCGATCAGCCCGTATGATCTATTTTGCAAGGGCATCAACAAGAAATACAGACAGTCCGTATTGGGTTGGCGGGGTTGCAGTTGACTCTGCGAGGATCCACTTAAGGTCACCTCTACATTATGAAAGAGCATTTCAATGTTAGTGAGCATTACAGGTGCCAATGAGTGAATTCTTTTTTCATTCTGGAAGGATTCAGGCTAGCCGTTTTCCTTTATGCTCCGTTAAGCTAACTGGCTCATTGCCATAGCAACATATTTAGTAAGCCGTGGTAGCTTCTCCTCAACTAGCTCACTAATAAATAAATGCATTTCCCCAAATGTCAAATCACCCCTTGAAAAACCGGATGATTTGCAGAGATCTGCTGCAGCTCACTGTAGCTCAGACAACATGGCTGTTTTCCCATTTAAATGGGCCACCGTTCTTCCGCACCAGTACATCGCATCTTTTGTGCGTGAAAAACCAACAACCTATGATCTTATGGTTTATCTAAAGAGGCTTAGTAAAAACTGCATGTGCCTAATTGTTCGGCATGACGGCACAGAGCCCTTGTTTATGTGAACTTGGGATGTCTGTTCTCATCCGGAGAAATGCCCCTGATCTGGAAGACAGAAGTAGAGGCCACCCACAGGGCAAGTAGCTGTCATCGTTGATTCACTGCGAGCTGAATTAAGTAAATTCTTAAGCAGCCACTCTGAAGAGAACCCGCCATCTATGGAGAAACTTCACAAAAGAGACCTCTTGCATTCACTGGGTGGGAGATTACTGGGAGGGAGGCTGCAATTATGTGTTCTCATGCTGAATCGAGTGGAGCAGAGAGTTGTAGCTAATCTGCAACTCAAACAAGAGTGAATCTAAGCTAATCAACGGCGAATTACAATGCCAGGCACAGGCAAAAACATAACAAGCCGGGATGGGTGTGTGCTGGTGATTCACGCTATGCTTTTCAAACCGTGGCGAAATACGCCCTCGGGGTGGAAAGGGCTTAGTCGAAGAGCCACTCATCGCATTTGAAAGGAAATAAACACACAGCGACCCAAGAACAGGTAAAATGTTGAAATACAGAACGAGATGACGTTGGCAGAGTCTCAATCAGAAGCCTGTCACAACAGCATTTCAACCAGAGGAAGACGTCCTGGTAAAGACGCCAGAAATCCGACCCAAAAAGATTAAGGGTCGTAGTCTGTGCATGCCGCTGAAGAGATTTACGTCTTACTGAAGATTTGGCTTGTTTTTACAGGAAGTGAAGCTGCAGGCACGATGAACGAATCCACTGTCATAACATGTGTAAATGGAGGTTAACGCTGGTCTTAGGAGTCAAATCAAGCTACTATTTCACAAATGATGAGTTCATTGAAGAGGCAAGTGTAGTTCTGTAAAAGCCGGGAATTCAACTGTACGGAAAATCTGGAGTAATCCTGAAGGATTTCTCATTTTAACATGGCAAGTGAAATTAATACAACGGTTGAAGCATCTTTGCAGTCAACACGAGTGCGATCAATGGCTAAGGGCACTAATAATACTAATGGAAAAATGAAGACTTTGCACATCATGGCAACAAGTGAGGTTAGCACATTAAATGTTATCATCTGTTAAGACTTTTAACTTACTAAACCAGGTTTGACAACATTTATGGAAGGCATATATTCTGCTACCGTCATCAAATGTATTTATACATTCAAAGAAAAGAAGACTTAAATATATAAGTAGGTCCAAGCGTTGTCCCGCAGTGTGTTCAAACCGAGGAGAGAAGATAAAATGCCATTCGAGAAGTCTGGGACGAATAATCAGTCCCTGAGCACAAGGACTTATTAGGCGGCTGTTTATACTCCTTTGAATCAGGATTTTAGGACTTCCTGTACGTTATTTTTAATAGTCCAAAAAGTGTGTTGCTGGGCGTCGTTGGATTAACCTGATGAGCCATGATCAACATTTTTACTTGACGGCCCTGCATTGTTTTTGCCGGAATCCTCTGTGCCCCCCCCCCCCCCCCCTTCCCCCCGCGGGCCAATGAAATGGTCTCATTGAGATGAATGAGAAGGCTGTGTGTTATAAAGCAGGGCTATTGTTGGTTGTAAATGGTCTTCGGTGGGAGAAGGGTAACGAGGGTAACGAAGGGTACGGTTCTTCACAGCTGAAACTCTCATAAAACCCAACGATCAAAAATAATACAAATATAAACCGTTTTGACAAATCATATTTTAATTGGAATAAGAGATGCAAGAAATGTAACATCCGGATATTTTGACATTTATGAAAAAATCGAGTCAAAGTAGAATGTATACGTTTCTGAAAATGATTATACTGCATGGTTCAAAAAGGAATGTTCCTTAAACAAGATGCAAAAGCAAACCGGTATTGATAACATGTCGGCGCGCCAGTACCACCCTGTGAAGAATGAAGCCATTTGTTTGAAAACATAATTTGCCATGTTCCCGTGAGATCAGACTGTTTTTTTTCTCCTCGGCTTCACTCTGCAGCTGAATGGACAAGCCCCTTCTTGGCGCCTTGGTGGTACTGAGTCTCCAGCTTCCCTGTGGGAGAAAGGGAAGGGAGGGGGGGAAGGGGAGAAAAGAGGAAGGGATGAATCAAAACACCATCAAAGGGACAGTGACCTCTCTGAGAGCTCAAGGCCAGCTGATTAGAGGCTGCAGGAAAAAGAGAGAGAGAGAGAGAGAGAGAACAACCTTTGTTGGCAGCAAAATAAATAAGGTTTATTCTCTATAGATGGTACATGGTAGTTCTGCGGCTGTACATTCAGTTTACTCTAAAGGTAACAAAGACCACACACATATGCTGTTAGGAAAAAACAGATTTACAGCCACACGGTTGGATGTCTGTCGGGTTGCGTTATTTCATCACTTCATTTTTATCATACTAGACATACTTTGAGTAACATTGTTTCAATCACTCAGGAATTCTTACGAGTTACGGCCAGAAAAACATTTTGTGAGGTCAAAGCAATCTTTGAAAGCCAAATTATAATCAGTTTACCCGTGAGTCCACGGGGACGTTAGCTCAAGGCGCTCCTGAGATATGCTTCTCACAGAAGTACGTCAATACATAAGTACGCGTGTGAGTTGGTATTTAACCGTAAACATAAAATGCGGTATCGTCGGCAAAGAAATGGATGTTTTGATGGACAATTGGAAAATGTGTATACAATGTTTCTTCTACCCTTACGTTAGAGGCGACGACCGTAAAGCTGTTAAGGAGAAACACAGTAAATAGTAGGGGGGCTAACTGTGACCCTTGTGGGACACCTTATTCCAAATTTCATGGCGTTTCTCCAAAACAGCCTGAACTCTTGTGGCGATACAGGATTTCTCACCGGGTGTAAACAGAATCAAACAATCAAAGGAGGAAGTGCTGTCAACGGTAACTAACAAACATTGCGCTGTTCTGCGTAACCGAGGAATGTTAATGTCTGCGCGTGTTTCTGGGTTCGCCAAGAATGTAACAGTCAAGTATTCTTTCTCTCACTCTCCCGTTTGGTTTGGTAGCCGAGCCGGTTAACAGCACCTGTCCTTCACAGACTTGCTGATTAGCAGGGCTGCAATTTCCAAGTCATAAAACAGTAGCCTCCATTGTTGTCACTATCTCCCCGGTTATGATTTACCGCTCACGGATTCATGTGAAGCTCAGACGAGAATGCTTTGCAAACACAAAAGACAGCTGAGAGCTTAAAGAAGGGTTTTATCAAGTTGCTATTTATACGAGTGCTCGTAGCTTTTGGCAGAGCTGTAGCGTGGTAAACAAACTGACTGGAGCTGACCCCCCTCATCACCCCCTGGGATTCAGCAACTGACACCTCTCCTTCTCTAAACGGACGTCGAGACGTAATCCAAAACACCAAATTCCTCCGTTAAGAGCTCACGCTCAGAAGCTGCGGTCGGCAGAACAACCTCGGCTGCGCTTTGATAACCTGCGTTGACCCGGTCCAATGATGAGCCCGCGTCTCTCTGACTAACACGAGCCTCCTGCTTGTCAAACCGCGGCATTAGCTGCCTGTTTCCCCCCTCGTGGCTGAGGCAGGAGGGGCGGGGGTGGGCTGGATACAAGTGTGACAAGCAGGGGCGGAGGTTGTCACTTGTGCTTTCTTTTGGTGTTGTCACGTTATGGCTGAACTCAGTGGGTAGTTGCAGCGTAAACAAGGTGTTTAGGAGAAGTGCTGTTTGCTCACCATTTCCAAGCCTGTCTGAATGGCTGTCAGTGTGTGTCTCTTTCTGCCAGGAGCAGAGTGCTGCTTAGGCGTGGAAACACCTCTGGAATTTATTTTCTTGGAGGTGAACGCTGCCAAGCGGCTGTCCGAGATCGCTTGAGCGATAAATCCACCGTAACAGAGAAGCATGATTCTTGATTCTTTTTGGGTGTTCTTCCAGTAAGAGCTTGAGTCAATATTGTGGAAAATTGCCTCAGGCAGTTTTTCCCGTCATGACATTTCTTTGAAATGTACGAGTCTATATGTGAAAACACACTGATTATATGAGTTAAAACGAGCACTCACAGAATGAGCATTTAGCAGCTGCACCGTGTTATTTACTCATTTGGCGGATGTCAGCACACTGAGTCCGATCCAGGAAAATGAAAAATGCCTCAAATTCAAGGACACCGAGGGATGATGGAAGGAGAATGCGCAGCTCACAAAGCGATTTTTCTTTAAAAAAAAACAAAAAAAACATTTTGCCATGTGAAGCACATAAGTCATTTATCACATTCCTCGACAATATGTACGTGTCCTGTAATTAGGGACCTGCAGGCCGGCCGGCGCCTCTGCTGCACTAAACAGAACAGGAGCAAAGCCACACAACTCAATAAACAGCTAAACTCAACCGAGGATTAAGTCTTCGCTTGGTGCAGTGCAAAGATTTGGAGGCTTAGATTTGACCAGTAGCAATAACGAAAGTCACGCCACGATATTTCAAAAGATTTAGAATATGCATTCAGGAATTAATTTACCAAGGCAGGATCCATTTACTCATTTTTGTGCCCCAAAAAAACGCTATACGCTGCAAACAGCGGCGTACCTTCGTTGTTAAAGCGCTGCCTGTTTAAAGCTGCGGTGGACGAGCAGCAAACATTAGCATTTATTCAGAGTCATCGCCACCTGGCAGATGGAAGTTCAACATTCACCGTGTTTTTGTCTACAACTCCTGAGGGAAACACTCGGCTCTTCAGCTGCTAAATGCTCCACTATGCACACCACCTCGCTGTTGAACGTGTCTCTTTGCTACTAAGTGCCAAGCAGGTGGCCTACAGTCGGGTTATTAGAGGCTTTTCGCTGAAAAAACAGCGGCCAAAACAACATGGCATGGTACAGTCGGTTATATGATGCTCTCCTTGGAGGACGAGCAGACCGAGGCTTGTCTGTGACATTGTCGCTAAATGCTTGGAAATGATGACAAATTGATCGTAGCATAATTCAAAACGCACCTGGAGGCGAAGGCAAGACAAGCTAGCAATCATTTCAATTTCAGCGACTGAGCCAAACATGCCGATTCATCACCATGAACGGTTTGTAGTGTCACACTCGTAGTCTACCATTTATCTATTCATTGGACAGGAATCAGAGCATCACTCAGCCCTTCAGGTAGCCATGGTATCGTTTTTGGCCCCATTTCTCATTCAAAGTGACAGAAAAAACATAATTTAATTTTTCAATAGTAGTTACATGCTTTTGTTTTTGCTTTAATGTTCAGTTTCTGTCTTAGTTGAATGAGAACAGCAAAAAGAAAAACATTGAGATGATTTTCCAGACTGACATTGGTATCAATATTGCTGCTTTCCTATTCTTGGGAGTTAACCTACTTCCTGTGTGCGAATGAAGCCAAAGCAACTGAATGTTCCACTTTGTGTTCTAATCATTTTAAGACGTGTCCCTCAAGGCAAAATCCTTAATTTATTCAAAGAAATCCTTGAGTAAAACCTGGACAAATAGCGGCGAACGAGCAAGGACAACAGCAGTAACAACAACAACAACAACAACAGACTGCAGTAAAGTGGCCCTTGTTGTCACTTGTTGTACGAACAAGTCAGACTCATTATATTCGCCCTGGAAAAGCCAATGCGGCTATGTACCATATTCCTCGGGTGAAGGCGACTTTCGTTAATGGCTCGGGAGCTGCTGAGCTGTCGCATTTCAGAGTGGGAGAGAGAGAGAGAGCTGGAGGGAATGTGGGGGGAGGGGAAGGGAGGCCGAGTGAAGGAGTGGGCGGAAAAAACAGGGAGGCAGCAGAAATGAGACAGAAGGGATGAGGAGAGGGAGAGCGAGGGGGGAGGGGAGAAAGGGGATACAGATAGGGACAGCAGGAGAGAGAGAGAGAGAGAAACAGAAAGGCCGGCCCATCGATTGGCTGAGATAATTTCCCATTGATTGCTGCACTGTTTGGAGATTGCTGGAGAAAGGTTTATTGCCCACATGCTGCAGCTGGGGAGGAGGCCATAAAATAAGCACGGGTTGTCTGCGCAGGGCTGGCGCTCCATCATCGGGGCCGTAAAGCACACGCGCGCACACACAGACACACACACAAAGTCTGTCACACAAGACGCCTGTGCACACGCTGCGCTCGGCTTACATGTCGAGCGCACACTGTGCTCCGCTTACATATTCATACGACGGCATGCGTATTATTCCCACTGCACAGAGAGGGAGAACGCAGCCCGCCGCTGATGGAAAGTGCACTCGCATAATCCCTTTGAAAAAGCCAGGGGCAGTAGTGCAACGAGTACTTATTGGAGTGAAATAGAGGTCCATTGACATCCTCCCTGACATCAATAACGCGCGGGCCAATCCGCTTCCTTGGAGTAATAATCACGAGAATAATTGTCCGGTTGCTGCTTCTCTTTTCGGCGAGAGGAACGGCCTACGCGGCGAAGACCACAAATTTGTATTCTATCCTTTTTATTACACGGCGGTCCCAATGCACCTGGACAATAAACCCGAGCGCGGGCCGTGAATAGGCACACTTCGTCCACATGTTGATACACTCTCCGATGACGCAGTTGGACACGATGGTAATTACTTTGTGCATTCATATGGTGACGCACAAAGAGGAGGGGGGGTGACTGAATGTAACACCTTCAACAGTATCTGTTACATTGGTTCCTACTGGACTCCCGCAGTCACCGAGCCCCTCACAAGAACCCCGCCTGGAGAGCAAAGGCAAGTTTAGGGTGCAAAAGGAAACTAGATGGCAGGATTTAATGGTTTGGATTCAAGCGCGGTGCCGTGAAACAGATGGGAGGGCGTAGAATCCGCCGCGGCATTTTTCACACGTGTGAGTTGATAGGGAAGCTCGTGTGAGCGGATGAATCTTCGGTTCACATACGTTTTTTTTTTTTTTTTGTGTGGGTCTGGTGGATGATGCTGGTGTCGACACATCCCACAAACTAACCAAAACCAGCCAGGCGTTTCCCCTTCCTCTACACTTTGAGACTTCCCCACCACGCGCACGACACTCTGCTCCAAGTCAGTTTATTCATTACAGAGACACCTTTGAAAACGTGTGTCACATGCGTTAAAAGTTTCCCTTTT